TACTGTCTATATTTAAAACCCCATCTAAGTCCCAAGGTTGAGAACTACACAGAAACAATTTTTATTATTTAATTAATTGTTTTAAATAGTCAAGTAGCAAATCAAGCTATAAACAACATTAAGAATTAAGACACTACCAAGGAGAAACTTTTCCAACACTGAAATGGGAGCTATTGTATAAAAACAAAGAGCAAACCCCACTCCCTTCTGCAGATGTTACCTAGCTGGGTAATGAAACACCTGCAAGAAAACAACCAACCTCAGGGACCACTTCCACAGAAATTATTTTCATGGTACTGAACATTGATTGTGCCTTGGCAGAATTATCAATGAAATCAGGAGACATTTCTGAAGCCTATATTTAATTCTAATCAAACCTCTGATCAAGACCATATCTTAGTTTAAAAAAAACCTCTAAGTGCTAATATTTAAGTGTAAATCTGCTTCATGCTCCCTCCCTTTTTACAACTCAAAAAAACAAAATAAAACTGAACACAACTCTCAAAATAACATAGGGTCCAGTTTAAAAGAAGGTAGAAATGGAGGTTTCTTGAATGAGTAATTCCTCAACATGGAAATGAATTAGTGGAGAAGTCATAAAATGTGGCCCCATATAGTGTACTAATCTATCAGAGGTAGGGGGAAATTTTTTTACAGTAATTATCTTCACAAGAGAACACAAGCAAGTCTTTCTTGGAAATTTGCATAGAGCAGTAATGGCGAACCTTTTAGAGACTGAGTGCCCCAAACCTGGCCCTGCCCCACTCCACCCCCTGCCCCACCCCACCCCACCTGCCCGCAGGGCCACTCACCACCTCCAGGGCCCACCGCAGATTGCCCAGGCAGCCCAGCAGTGCCATGGCAGCCACGCCCTCTGCCCACACCCTTCAGCATCAACTGTGCACGATGGGGCATGAGGCCAGATTCTTGTCTATGCTGCCTGGCTGCCATGTTCTTGGCTGCACTGCTCTGCATTGGCCCCGCTCAGGGGCAACTCTCCTCCAGGGGGGCTGCTGGTGAGGATGGGGTCATGGGGGGAGGCAAGGCTGGGGCAATGACACATGTGCCCACAGAGATGGCTCTGAGTGCCGCCTCTGGCACTCGTGCCATAGGTTCACCACCACTGGCGTAGAGGAGTAGTCTCTAATACTTTTGAAGGTAAGGTCACTGAACTCCATCCATGGAATTAAGGTCACTATTGAGTGATAGGATTCCACAATTGCAGCTCTCTTCATCCTCATGGATCAAATTTTTAAAATCTTCCCAAATGTGGGAGAAGGCTGTTGGGTGATCCTATTTTCAAAACGGTGGGAAATAGAGTAGTTACAAACCAATTACTTTGCTGAGTTTTATCATAAAATTATGATTTAGGGTAGCAGCCCCCAACCTTTTGGGCATCAGGAACTGTGGAGCAAGATTTTTCCACAGATTGGAAGGGGTATGGTTTCACATACTGCCTGCATCCCACAGATGGGGCTTCGTTTGTTTGCGCGGCCTGGTTTCTGGACCCAGGGTGTCTGGACCGGGGGACCCTGATCTAGGGTAGACATGTCAAATCCATGGCCTACAGGCCGCATGTGGCCCTGGACTGTTAGTAATTCAGCCCCACAAGATAATAAAAATATTTAAAAAATAAAAAAACTTTGTTATGCATATACATTAACTATATTATATATTTTATATACAGTCCAAAACAATTCTTCTTCATTCAATGCAGCACAGGCAAGCCAAAAGGTTGGACCACCATGATCTAGCAGATCCTAGAACACTGCTTGGTATTAAACCATCTTATTGAGATATATACATGGTTAGCCCCAGATGTGAAAGATTTGGGAGGATACCTTGATTGATAAACATGCATCGATGAAAATGTACGAAAATGGATAAAGGAGTTCTCAACGAAGGCATCTTACAGAAATAATCACCATGGAATGAGGTATGAAATAGGACCATATTTTGCATCCACCTGCTATTTAATTGTTATATAAGCTTTTTTGTTGATATACAACTGCTATTTCATCAACACAGCAGCTGTTGGTCTCCTATAAGTGGATGATTTTTAATCTTCTCCCTCACTCTGGATGGAATGAGAAACACCAAATTTCCCTAGCAAAAAGGAACTTCTTACCATCTGTCCCAGAAAAAAATATAAATACATATTTTGGGATTGTTTTATATTTTTTGACAACATGGAAAGCACATATCAATTATAATGCCAAACATGTTGTGAAAAGGGCTGCTGCCATTCAAAAGTGTTTTGATTTGAAGGTGGTTATTATATCCCCACAGGTCTGAAAGTCAGTAATAGCATGGTTTTTATATAGCACTCAAATTTTTGTAGAAATGATTATAGCCCATTAAAGGAGGACAGATCAAAAGTCTTCAGTCAGTTTTGGCTATAGCTACTGGTGAGCTAAAATGCTGCACTGAACATAGAGTTGGTTTAATCTGGACGTGGTCCTAGTTCTTTTTCTTCAGATTTGGTTTAGTTTTCATTTGTTATTTCTCACTCGTTTAAATTGGCTCTTGTTCATAAGTCTAGATGGGGGAACATTCTGAAACATAACCATCTTGAATTCTTTTTGGAGTTTGTCTTCTCCTCTATCCAAAAGAGACAAAGAACTTAATTGATAAAGAGAAGTATGATTCTAAATTACAAACACATTATCATCCTTAAATATTCTGCATTAATGGATGTGATGAACAGCTTTAATTGTACAATATATTGTATGTACAATCTATGTACAATTTATTGTTCTGACACCAATTCTTCACACTCTCCAGATTTGATGTTTGGCCTTCTATGGTCCTAAAAAAATAGGTATATAAAAATATTGTACAACCACTGATTATTCCCCCAAACTACCAATGGAACTGAAACTGTGGAATATCCTTTATATTTGTTAACAAACAAATAGTGATTAAATTTTGAATGGCTGCTAATTCCACAGGCCTACAATTACTTTAGCTTTTATTCTACTGTTTATCTATTTTACATCATCAGGATCAGACGGGTATCAATATGTAACATATACTACTGAAATTTTATAATAAGATATGGATTGTTGAGAATTGTTCCTTTTAAATTTTAATTTGTTTGCAATCATTTATAATGGATAATATGGTTATCCTTTTATATGTTATGCATTTTGGTGTTTATTTTGTTTCCTTATTATTGTTCTGCTGCTAAGTTCCATAATAACAGTAAACAAAAATGACACTGCCCAATTTTTAAAGTAAATTAGACGTTTCTCAAATAGTTCCAATCCACCAAATAAGACCTAGCATTCACTAAGATAACCCATTAAAAATAATCATACAAGAAAAGCTTTAAATCTCATTTTTAAAAAAGTAACTGTCAACACTGCTAACATCGGATGTTTTGCATAGACAACAGATGAATATGTAGCCATCTTTTTCCCTTTCGCTTTTAGAGTTAGATGATGCTGGGGGGCGGGATTTGAATGAGAGTCTAGCTCAGTGTTTCTCAACCTTTCTAATGCCGCGACCCCATAATACAGTTCCCCATGTTGTGGTGACCCCCAACCACTTATATATCACCGGGTGCCAGGGCCGTGGCCAAAGAAAAGGGGAAAAAATGGTGGACAGCCTTGTTTGGCGACCCCCGTGAAATGATCGTTCGACCCCAAATGGGGTCCCGACCCACAGGTTGAGAACCACGGGTCTAGCTAGACATAACAACACTAAACTTAGTGTGCGAATCAAGGTTATTGAGCCCAGAGCTGATAAAGAATTGGAGGGCTGGAGAACTGGAGAGGAAGCCCGTGCTTCAAGCTAATTGGGGAATGTGATTTATGACTGTTAATTGGAGGAGGGAATTATGCTTTGATACTATATGCCCAGGGGAGGGGAATTCAGTTTTTGGCTTTGATTATGTAAGTGTTGATATTATGCTACTCGAATAAAAGATTCTTTAGGTAAACAATGCCTCAAAGTTCTTTTGAAGAGTTTCATCTGTCAGAACCATGACATTAACTTTCAATAAATCATTCCAAATGGGACACCATGCCCCTTCCCAATTTTTAACACAGGTATAATAATATTGGTCTGTTGGAAGATCTTTAAGTGAACAAGAAACTACATTACAAAAAGATGGTTGAAAGGATGAAGAGAAAAATGGTAATTCTTTACTGATGTGGTATCTGAATATCACAATGCCATGAAAGTACATGATAGAATATTTTTGAAGCTTGAGGACATGGATTAATTTTTGGTAACTTTCTCTCTTTTGCCCCATATGAGTATTAGACCGTAACTCATGACTTTTCCAGAAAAACAGTGTGACATAAATAAGAAAAGCAAACCCAAAATAGTACTTTTAAGCAATTAGAACAGCTGAAGCATGCATGTGCCCAGGGATGCATACCTGCAGTTTTACTTCCCTTAGTAAGTTTGAATTGGAAAGCAAAATGGCTGATTGTATCACATACAGCATCAGAAATCTGAGCAAAATGTGCTCACGCACGAGTGATTAACATCCCTAACATGTTCTGCAGTGTATTTGCATACTACTAGCAGCAAGCTAATTAATGTATAGTTCATCTTTTGGCAATTGTCACCATGCTCTGAAACTGAGCAAGTTCAGTTGGCATTTGGCCATTTCAGTCCCTGCTGTAACAGAGACTCCAAAATATAAAGGCGAAGGCAGAACACGGAGCTCTTGGCAATGTTCATTATCTAGAGACTCCTTGAAAAAATACGCCTGAATCAACTGATCAGCAGGTCATAGGCAATTTTTATAGACGTGTTTGGTGGCACTAATGGTGGACTTCCAAAGTAACTATGACCCATCATGAATTGGATCCTTCATTCTAGATCAGCTGTGCTTTAAATAACATCTTTTGAAAGACTGCCATAGAATCTAATTCAAGGATTAGTTGTTCCTATGTACAAATGGAATGAAAACAAAAGATCAAAACCAAACCAAAACAAAAAAACAAAAACAAAAAAAACCCAGTCAGAAGTAACTCTTGACTTACCACCATTCGTTTAAAAACTGTTCACAGTTGCAACGGCACTGAAAAACTTGCAACCGGTTCTCACCATCGTCACAGCATCGCTATGGTCATTTGATCACAAAATAGGGTGCCTGGCAACTGGCATGAATTTATGAAGACTGCAACATCCCGAGATCATTGATTGCCATTTCTGACCTTCCCAGCCAGCTTCCTACAAGCAGTCAGTGAGAAAAGCCAAATTTGTTCAATGACCACATGATTCACTTAACAACGGAAGTGATTCACTTAACAACTGAAGTGATTCACTTAACAACTGAAGTGATTCACTTAACAATCGTGGCAAAAAAAATTCAAAAAAATTGGGCATTAGTGACTCACTTAATAACTACCTTGCTTAGCAATGGAAATCCTGGTTCCAATTGTGGTCATAAGTCAAGGATTAGCTGTAATGGCAAATTTACTTATTATAATTAGCCATGATCTATCTGGGCATTCATCCACCATGCATCAAGAAGACATTTTTTTTTCTGCTGCTGCTGCTGGTCTGGTTCTTCTAAATACATTTACTGTAATAAAGTCTGAAGTGGGGAGCTTATTCTACTTTGTTATACTTTCTGCACCACTGAGAACAGTGATTCTGCTCTCTCTTCAATCCTTTCCAATTCTGCATGTGGTACTAGAAATGAAAACATCTAGATAGGGTTCTAGATTCACTCTGATTCTATTCGGTTCTGAGGGTATCAGTTCCAATAAAGAAGAATATTTGTAGCTCAGGGGTTCTTGATGCTCTCTGAGCTTGATTGTTTTTTCCAGACGTTTCATTACCCAAACTAGGTAACACCATCAGTGCTACTCATCAGGTATCATTTCAATATACAGTAAATAATGTTGTGTTAAGATTTTAAACTTTACCTCCAGTTCAAGTCTACTTTCATTTATGTAATTTGAATCATCTTGAGCCCAGCTATGAAAGTTTTGTTGAGGCTAGCTTAAACCCACTTTTAAGCAAAAGGCAAACCATTTCCTTGGTTTTTAAAATCCTGAAAAGGAGGTTAATTAAGCTAGCAATTTCAGCTGAATTAGGCTTTTGAAAAGAAAATTGATTAATTTGTTTCCTGACTTGAACAAATTGCCAAAATAATTAAAACATGATTAAGCTTATTTTGAAAGACTTTTAGCTTTTAGAAGTGCATGACTGTGCATGCAATCTGCTAAAAGAACTAGGAGGTGACAGAATTTGTGGCATATTGCATGTCTTTCAGTTTTCACAGCTGTTAGCCCAACCCTCCTCCTTTGCTACTGAACACTCTGTCAACATATATCTCGTGCTCATTTTTGCCCTTCCAATATCCTGTAGTTATATTGTATTTTTTTTTTAAAAGTGTCATGACTGTAATCACAAAATGGATCATACTGAGGCTATGATTAGTCATTAAATGCTGGGGATGGCTCTCTTCTCTGAATTTCTTTTCACTTACATAAAAAAGGAAGAACAGCAACAGAATAAATGGAACAAACTGTAAGAGAAGGACTGGCAGAGCCAGGGGGAGGAGTAAAAAGAGGAATCAGCCTAAAAACATGTAGCCACAAAATCCAACCTCCCTTGATTGCCATTATCTAACTATAACTAGGAGCTGACCATTAGTTGAGAGGATTCCTGCATAAACATGATTAGCAATAAATCAATTAATTTGAACCTTCACATGTGGACCTGGTCTTTTGTGCCTGACATAAACAGAAGAAATAAATGTTTGTGCATATGCGCATGTATGGGGAGAGAAAAAGGAAGGGAGGGAAAAAGGGATGCAACTCAGGGAAGGGACAAGGAGTGAAACTGAACATATATTATTTCAGTCTCCATATATCTAAATCAGAGGCACAGGAAAGAAGACAACCCCTCACCAAAGATCTACACCAAAGGTATACCATAAAAAAGGAGTTGTCTGCCTCCTCCATTTATTATCAAGAGCAACAAGTATTTTCTCCAACAGAAATGAATGAAATATATTGTTCTGTCCACATGGGGAAAAAAACCTATACCCTGCATACCTCAGGATAGAAATATATATGGTGGGCCCTATATGTGCTTTTTTTTGCTAAGTTTAGAGTGAAAGTAGCTGGACAAAGCTGTTGGCTAGCGCACAGTTCCTTTGCACTATACATCACATTTATCTGGATATATATTACTGTGCAGGGACAACTCTGCAAATGATAAAAAGCAAATAAAAAATCAAGCTTGACTAAGCATAAAGTACTCTAGGACAAAGAGGATCAACATTTAAATAGAATCAAATGCTACAGCAATGGTGGTGGCAGCATATGGCCAGTGCTGGCTGAGGATCAATAGAATTTACTTTAGTCTTATCCTGACCCATTTTAAATAGAATACTGTAATGATTATCTTCTGGTGGTGTTTAGAATTAATATCAAGGACAAAACCACCAGGCCAAATTATACCACATTTCCTTTGTACAAACAAATTACTTTCTGAACAAAAATATTCATGGCATTACTGTCAATCTAGATAAAAAAGAAATGCTATTATACCTAATAAACATTGCCTAACCATTAACACTGGATGCTTTTTGCTGACGTGCAGCATAAACAATGGAATCTGGAATATACTTTGCATTCTCCTGGTTTCTCCTGATAAATGGGCTCTGTGGTCCACCTTGACTGCAACTCAAGAACAAAAGAAATCAAGAAAGAACATTTGGGTCTTACTTATCAGGTCAAAATAAGGACCAGTAAATTACATATGGAGATTCTCAGTCATCTAGGTCATGGTTGTCCCAACAGTGCTTTTTCAAAACGCAACTGGGCTTTGTTTTTCCTTGAAGACATTTCACTTCTCTTCCAAGAATTGAGAAGCTTCTTGGATGAGAAGCAAAACATCTTTAAGGAACAACAAAGTCCAGCTGCCTTTTGAAAAAGCACCTTTAGGATGATCAGTAAATTACATTTCATAATCACTTACATATTAAAATCCATGGAAAGATTCAAAGACACAGAGTTCATTGGGAATTTCCTATATTTCCTTTCTTCAGTTCCACCAGCATTCAGAGTTTTAAGCTGACTGTGATTCCAAGGGTAGGAAAGGAATATTTCATGCGCTTTGCAAAGTAGCAGCCTTGAAGAAGAGGGGCTAGGAATGGTTAATTCTTGCAGGCAAGACTTCTAGGGAATATGAGCATCTACTGCATAGAAGACAGGACAGAAATTTAATAACCCTAAGCCTTCCTCATATTGCCGACATGAAATGAAATGATTTGGTTTTGAAAGAAAGGAATATTTCTGCAGAATGAACCAACCCTCTGCCTCCATGAAGAAAAGAAATGTAAAAGCACAAACAGCAGTCTGGAATTTATTTATTTTTTTACTTCCTTCCTCAACTCCCTTAATTTCCACTAGCTCCCCTCCTGAATGTCACCTCCTCTTCCTTTTTTTCTTTTGTGGCTAAACTTTTTTTTTTAGCTACACTTCTTAGCCTTTCTCCTTTTGCAACCATTTATACTTCATTCATCTTCTCCGAAATGTCTTTTCCTCCCCCCCCCTTTCCTTTTTTTCTTACAAACTCAACAGCCACTCAAAGAGAAGAACAAATCAAAAGGATTAGGTTAGCAAGTGCAAAGGCATCTATTCTCCTGTCCAGTTTTGTGGCTTTAGGACATTTTTTGACAGCAGCTCAGGGAGTATGTCAGTCATCGCTGAAATCACCTTGCCACTTTGGATGTGTCCTTTTCTTTTAAGGTCCCTTCACTTCTATCTTTCATTTCAGCTTGTATTAGTATTTGGCAATCTTCAGATTCCACACATCCTCAAACAGACTTTCTTGCAGAGGGTCAGGAGAGCATGCCACATGTTAGCTTTACTAAACCTTCACTGTGGCAAGTCATAGAAAGTTAGTGTTGGTGTCAGTCCCAATGGTGATCCTCATACAATCAGAAGATCAGAGGGGTCAACCTGGATCGCAACTGGTAGAGCTGAGGATTCCTAGAAGAGTGTTGTACAACCCCACTGAGCAGGTGTGCATCTCTTTTGTAGCGACACATTAAGATGACTGTTCAACTTTGGAAGCCATTTACTATACACTGCCTGTCTCATGTAAATATTTTAGAACAGTCATACATTAACATGCTACTGACTCAGAGGATGTGCTTTTAATTCCCATATTAGACTTTCCTATTTACTCTACGAACATCATTCATCTGAAATAAAGGTGTATATTTAGAAAGAATGAGCAGTTGTTATTTTACGGCTGAAGAAAAGCATTCAGCTTCCTCACAGAGAAATTTATACAGTATTCAGCCAACTGGTAGAAGTGCAGGAGAACAATCTTTAAAGTAGGATTAGAACCATATCCGTTGTTTTGATTTTGCCTTCAGCCTTTGAATTTCTTGTGCATGAATAATGTTTAATATACCTTTTGTTAATGAAGGCCTATGATTTTTTCCATGTTTGTTCTGCATCATCTTGGTGTGACAGATTTTGTGGCAAAAGCAGAGAAAATTCCTTAAAGTCAAAATCAAGGTCCCTTCCCTTCCTCTCGCTTCTGTTCTATTTTAATATTAAAAGTTGCTCAATCTTACAGAAAAGAATATTGTAAAAGAAAATTGTACAAATAGTGAATATCTAGATTAAAAAAGAAATTTGGTTGATCGTTAAATACAGTATATTTTATTCCAGATGATACAGTGAATATGGACAATAACCCTGTCTAAGCAATACTGCCTATTAACTGATAAATATGCCTTATTATTATTTATTTGTAGATGACAGATTGTTAAAAGAAAAAGGGCACCCTCGTTATGATGTTTCAGAGTGGCATAATGATAGTAGAGAATATTGAAAATCTTATTTATCACTCTTCCAGTATACAAGGATAAAAAAGGAGGGAGGAAGAAAAATGCACTAGCGGCCAGATAATTAAGAAATCTTTTTTTTTTATTGAAAATTTTAAAGTTTTTACAAATAAGAAAAAAAAAGACAAAAAACAAAAAACAACCCTAACCCACCCACCCCAACCCTCCCTCTCCATCCCCCCCCAACCTTCCCAGAGCTGAGTATAGGCTTAGTTAAAATTTTTAAGAATCTTAAAAAGAAAATTGAAAAAATATAAATCATAAGTATATCTAAATACATTACATAAACAACTTATAAAGTAATTAACAATAATATATATATAAGAAAAAAGCATAAATATTAAAAAGAAAAAGTACTTGAAAGAGAAAAACGTAAGAAAAAAAAAGAAAGAAGAAAAGAGATATGGAAAAAGTACAATCTATAAA